ATCCCCCGGGTATTGCACAGTGACACTCCGGCAGGACACCAACCCGGGCAGGGGGCTTCCCGCCCTCTCCTCCTTCTCCCCCCTCCAGCATCCCTGTCCTCGCTTTGTTTCCAGAGCCCTCGAGGGCTGGAATCGCTGTAGCGGCGTGGGGAGGGCGGGGCTAACGGGGATCCCGGGGGGGATGCCCGGGGAGGGCAGGAGGAATAGCCGCCGAGACACCTCTCCGGGGGTCCCCGCAGGGCGAAGCGGCCCAGAGCTTTCATCTGGAATGCGCCGAGCCCTCCGCCGCAGCGGGTCATTTTTCTTAAACCTTCTTTTAGGTTAATCCTTCTGCGTGAGAGTATGTGACATTTTTATTTTTATTTTTGCGTTTTCCCGGGGCTCAAGAGAGTGGGAAACAGATGCCCCTTTGCAGACAGGGCCGTACCAGGGAAGTCAGTCGCCTTGCCATCTTATATCAGGTTGCATTCCCCCCCCTCCCCTCTCCTTTCCTCCCCAGGTGGTTTCAGCAAGTTCCAGGCCGAGTTCGCCCTGCACTGCGAAACTAACCTAGACAGTTCGTGTAGCAGCAGCTCTCCTCCTTTACCAGTCCTGGGCTTGGGAGGCCTCCGAATCAGCTCCGATTCCTCATCAGACATTGAATCTGACATTGACAGAGACCCCAACAGTGCCACCGACTCCGACGGCAGCCCGCTCTCCAACAACCAGCCTTCCTTCCCGGTGGAGATATTACCCTACCTCTACTTAGGCTGTGCCAAGGACTCCACTAACCTGGACGTTTTAGAAGAGTTTGGCATTAAATACATCTTGAATGTTACCCCCAACCTGCCTAATCTCTTTGAAAACGCCGGCGAATTCAAGTACAAGCAGATCCCCATCTCTGACCACTGGAGCCAAAATCTGTCTCAGTTCTTCCCCGAGGCCATCTCCTTCATAGGTGAGACCCCGTTGTTTGCCAACAGCTCCGTGCCAAGGGGCAAAATTCGGTTTCCTTGGGCAGAAATCAGGAGATTTTGGAGAGGCGGTAGCGGCGTTTCTGGCAATCTCGGGGGGATGCCCTCCTGCTTGCTTGATTTTCAAGCTGGCTTTAAAGTTGAGGGGCAGGTGGGGACTGTTTGGGGTTGGGGGGGGTGTTTACTGAGGACCCCCGGTGAATTGTCAGCGATGTTTGCAGGTTGCAAACGTGAACCCGGTTTGGTTGGCAGGGGGATTCCAGGATGCCCAGGATGGGGCATCTTCTTCAATCTCTTTGAGGGGGGGGGGGAGGTAAATGAGCCCGGGGGTTGATGGCTTATTCGTCCTTTTTGTGTTGTTGGGTTTGGGTTTTTTTCTTTCTTGTGGTTACTGAGGAGTAATATAATAAAGAGAAACGCTCTGGGAAGCTAACTTTAGCTTTTAAATACAAGTTATTCATAAGCGGTATCCGTGGCAAATGTATAGACAGAGCTTTAATTAAATCTCGTGGTAATAATGATCCACCTCGGTTAGGCAGCCCTTCGACATTATCCGTCAGCTTTGGAAACACGTCCCCTTGGGCTCCAGGAGTTCTGGTTAACATTTGCACTCGCCTTCGTTTCGGGGAGGACTAAAATCACCCCATGGGGGGTGCGGTGGGGTGGGCATGGCATTATCTGTTGGGAAGCTGTGCTGTAATCCGGTTGAATGATACCGGTAATAGTGGAGAATGTAGGTAATCTGAGCCCAGCAGGAAGAAATGTGGGCTGGAAGCCACAAAGAAACTAATCTCCAGGCATTGTAATGCATTTCCTATTACAAAGGAACCCATTTTCAACCAATGTTGACATCCTGTTCCTCCTAATGGGCTGTCCCCTGTGACTTCCCTCATTCTTTTAAAACGCCTGAATACCTCCATTGTTAGCTGCACAACAGTTGGAGAATAATTTAATAGACCTTTGCAGTCTGCTGGTCTGTATAAAAGGCATTCAGTGACATATTGCAGGATTTCCATGCTGGGGCAAGGGGACTGTAAGAATTTAAGGCGAATCTCCAGGCGACAGCATGGCTTTTAAAACTGACTTTTAAAACAGTGTCATGCAGCGTATCCCCGCTCCCTTTGTCTCATTCTTAGTTTTCTCAGCTCTTGGGTACATGTACGTAGGGGGCTGGATTCTCCTCTTGTCCTGGTTTTAAGCCGGTGAAGTTAACTCTTGCGTTGCGCTGCTGGCCGCTGCCATCAGCATCGTCCTTTCTTCCAACTTGATACTCGTCTCCCTCGTGTTGAGAGATCGGTTACCAAGGCACTGTCTTACGTGTCCTTCTCTGCCTCTTTGTCTCCATACAGATGAAGCACGGGGGAAGAACTGCGGTGTCCTGGTGCATTGCTTGGCGGGGATCAGCCGCTCGGTCACAGTGACGGTGGCCTACCTCATGCAAAAGCTCAACTTGTCCATGAACGATGCCTATGATATTGTCAAGATGAAGAAGTCCAACATTTCACCCAACTTCAACTTCATGGGTCAGCTACTGGACTTTGAGCGGACTCTGGGGCTGAGCAGCCCTTGTGACAACCGAGTGCCGAACCAGCAGCTGTACTTCACCACCCCTTCCAACCAGAACGTCTTCCAGGTGGATTCCTTGCAGTCCACGTGAGCTCCCACCGCCTCCCTTCTCCTGTCCGTTTCATGGGATCACTCCTCAACGGTTTCTCTTTGGCAGTGATAAAGAAAACGCAGCTTTCTCTTTTTCTGGCCTCTGCTATCAAAAAGCAGCTGCCGGTGCAGGCTAGGAAAGGTTACACGGTGTGGAATCGGCTCTTGCGAAGGGAGGGAATGTGGTGAGCTCTCTGGGAAGGCCGGCGGCGAGCAGGGGGGCAGCGGGCCCATCCCTGCTTGCCCAAAGGTTGAGGTCCGAGGACTTCCAGGGGCTTAGGGTCAGGCTGGACAGGCTGAGCGCGTGTTCTCTAAGGACTGGAACTGTCCTGCTTCCCTCTCTGCTTTCGGATCTGTGACACATATCTTTTGTCTTCAGTGAAGACTGGTTATTTTTGTTTGTTTGTTTTAATTTAGAGGAGCCAAAGAAAGAGATTTCAGCTTAGTGTATTTGGAGTACTTGTTTGCCGGGAGCTCGGTAGTATTCTACTTGATCAATGTAAATATTTAATCTTAAATCGATTTGCAACTTTTTTTTTTTTAAATTCACATGTATTCAAGAAATCAATCCAAGGGACATCTGTGTTTTTGTTCTCTTCATAAACTGCTTTATTTGGGGTTTTTTTTTGTTTTGTTTTTAAATTGCAAAGAATATATTTGCAGCATGCTTAATTTTATTGTTCAACTGAAGCAAGCTTTCCATGAGGAAGAAATGGCAGTGGTGAGAAGTTTGCAAATCATGTTTTGTGAGCAAGTACAGTCTCTTCTTTCATATATCTTTCCTTCCTTGTGGTGATTTTTTTTTTCCTCACACTCTTGAT